GCTCCTGGCTTCAGATCGGCGCAACTCCAGCCATTGCAGCCATCTGGAGAGTGAACCAGCGGATGGAAGACCTCTCTCTGCCTCTGCCTTTCTGTAACTCTAACTTTCAAGTAAATAAATAAATCTTTAAAAAAACAATAACAAAAAGAAAGTAATGTATTGAAAAGTAAAGGAAAAATTAAAAAAAAGAGATCTCTCTCTCCCTGCCTTTAAATTAATGAATTAATTAAAATAAAAATAAATAAATCATTTTAAAGGATTTATTTATTAATTTGAAAGGCAGAGAGAGAGGCAGAGAGAGGTCTTCCATCCACTGGGTCACCCTCCAGATGACCACAATGGCTGGAGTTGTGCTGATCTGAAGCCAGGAGCCAGGAGCTTCTTCTGGGTCTCCCATGCTAGTGCAGGGGCCCAAGCACTTGGGCCATCTTTTACTGCTTTCCCAGGCCATAGCAGAGATCTGGATCAGAAGTAGAGCAGCTGGGATTCAAACCGGCACCCACATGGGATGCTGGCACTTGCAGGTGGCAGTTTTACCTGCTATACCACAGCACTGGCCCAATAAATAAATCTTAAAAAAAAAAAAAAAAAAAAAAAAAGAGGCAATCTTGCCATCCACCTTGCCAACCAGGGGCTTTGGAGGCTGGATCCAAAGAAAGGGCAATGTTTCACTGACCTCCCAGAGTTGGAACAACTCAGGCAGCAGGGAAAAGCCAGCACTGGAAACCAAATAATACTTCCCTACACCTGGCTGCCTGCTCATGTATCTAAGCCTTCCTTGTTCTAGATCAGGGAAGATAATGCACCTTGGAGTTTGCCTCTCCCTTCTGTAAATACCTGGGCCCAAGAGGGGAACAAGCCTATTAGAGATGATGCTTAAGAGGAAGGGCAGAGATCTCAACACTCAAAATCATATTTCCCAACCCCACATGATCCTAGAAACAGAAAGAAGTGTCCGCAGAAACAGATATGGGTTCATATGTTCATAGCAGAACACCAAGAACGAATGGGACTTTTGAATATGGAGGGAACATGCGTTGTTTAGTTCTATTCTTAGCAAGAGGGTGAACAAGAAAGGAATGGTCCACTGCAGAGAGCAGACATCAACAAATGTATGCACGGTAATGTAAGAACTAACTCATGATTATTTCTCATGTCTCATTGTTTAAAATAATTGAAGACCACTGACCACTGGGATGAGGCCAATCTTGATGACAGAGGTAGGAAACCCAAGATCAGACATAGATGGCACCAAGACAATTGCTGCTTTGAATAAATGCCAATCTCTTGGGGGTAATGACCTGATAGGATAGAGGGGTCTGAGTGACTCAAATGCTGAAAAATTCCCCCAAAGCTGGAGCTCCCCATGACATTCTGGCATTGCCAACTTCCCACTTCAGCTTATTCTATTTCACATTGCCATCTCCATCATTGTCCCTCCTCCACTCCCTTCCCTAGTGCAACTATTTCTGTTGTGAGATGTTTCCACGTATTGATGACTGGCAGGAAGTGCAGTGGTCTGAGCCATTTCCTTGGGGAGACAGGGTTTGAAGCACACATTGTGCAATATGCCTGCTTAACATGAAAGGTTTCACTTCCTATGATGGAGAGAATGGTGGCAGGCTTGGGATCCAAGCTACAAGACCAGGATGAGGCACGGCAGAACCGTAGAGATTGTTACGTCAAAGGGCATTGCCCCATGGTCCCAAAATTTCCCTTGAGCAGAAAGAAACAGGAGTTCATGCAGCCTGGATACTAATACCACTTCAACCACATAGTGACATTGAATGAGTCACTTCACCTCTCTTGGCTTTGGTTTTTTCACCCACTATTCACATTCAAGTATCAATCTGTGTCATTGTTAAATTCCCACTAGATACCACCAGACAAGCATTATAGATGCTTTCAGCTGGCAGATTCTGAGGTTCTGGAATGTTACAATTAGAAAATAGTGAAGTGGAAGTGGTTCAAGGTTCCCAATCTATATTCCAAGTCCCAGAAACAGAATGGACTAATGAAGAGCTGATGCTAAGGCCCCTTCCTATTACTAACTTTCATTCTTCTTTGCTCACCTGTAGTCACATCAGCACACTGAGGGCATCTCTATGGTCTCTGTCAGAACAGCCCACAGAACCGACAGACCTCCAGATCCTGTGCGCCCCAGAATACAGATTCCAAGGAAAGATACATTTCCCTCAATAAGACTTGGGGAGCCAGGGGTTAATTTGCAAAGTGAATTCTGTTGAGACAGAACACAGGAATCTATCAGGCCACCCAGACAGGACCTTTGGTGTACATGCAAGTTCAAACACCAAATTTATGAGGGCTCAGAGTTGGGAACTGATTGTTGCTTATCAAACTCACAAGAAGCTGATGCATTACCCAGGCTTTAGATATCCTGAGGAGCAAATAACTTACCAAAAATGGGAATCTTGTGTCTGATTCCTGGTATCAAGGTACTAAGAGCTAAGTTAAGAATCAGAGGCTGCTTGGTAAGCAAACCCATGAAGCTCTCCTTGCCTCATGGTAGAGCCCATTTCCTTCATGCCTCAAATACTCCACCTGTCAGTCAGGGGCTCTCTCCCTTGAACAACACAGAGCAAGTATGATACCTGGCACATAGTAGGCACATGCTTATTTGCATGAAAACACAGTCCAATGCCTGCCCACCCCATAAGACAAACTTCCAACCTGAATTTATATGCTAAGTTCTGTGCAACACTTGGCTCTGAAAGAGTTCACAGCCTCCCAGGGTGGGGTGAGGGTTGGGGGACAGAAAGGTTACTCACTGCTATAGTAAACGCTGTGGTGTAGACATGCTAAAGGGGCTGAGCAAGGTATTTCTAGATTCCATGCACTGTTTATAACCTGGTCGTTCATTCATCCTAACAATGGCCAACGGACAGCTGCCCTGGGGCCAGCTCTCCACTGGTCCCTGCGCTAAACAGGGGCTGAAAACTCTTAGTATGACTAAGAGACATAGTCTCATAATGATATCCTTGAGGCCAGTGCTGTGGCATTGCAGGTAAAACTGCTGCTTGCAGTGCTGGCATCCCATATGGCCACTGGTTCAAGTCTCGGCTGCTCTACTTCATTTTTTTTTAACATTTATTTATTTATTTGAAAGTCAAGAGTTACACAGAGAGAAAAAGAGAGGCAGAGGCAGAGAGAGAGGTCTTCCATCTGCTGGTTCACTCCCCAATTGGCCACAATGGCTAGAGCTGTTCCGATCCGAAGTCAGGAGCCAGGAGCTTCTTCTGGGTCTCCCACATGGGTGCAGAGGCCCAAGGACTTGGGCCATCTTCTACTTCTTTTCCCAGGCCACAGCAGAAAGCTGGACAGGAAGTGGAACAGCCGGGTGTCAAACCGGCACCCATATAGGATTCTGGTGCTTCAGGCCAAGGCATTAACCTGCTGCACCACAGCACAGGCCCCATTAGCTGCTCCACTTCCAATCCAGCTCTCTGCTATGGCCTGGGAAAGCAGTAGAAGATGGCCCAAGTCCTTGAGCCCCTGCACCCAGAGGAAGCTCCTGGCTCCTGGCTTCAGATTGGTGCAGCTCCAGCCATTGCAGCCAACTGGAGAGTGAACCAGCAAATGGAAGACCTCTGTCTCTCTCTCTGCCTCTCCTTCTCTCTCTGTGTAACTTTGACTTTCAAGTAAATAAATAAATCTTTTTAAAAAAAAGAATATTCCTTTTTAAAGATTTATTTATTTATTTCAAAGGCAGAGAGAGAGAGAGAGAGAGAGAGATTTGCTGGTTCACTTTCCAAATGGCCACAACAGCCAGGGGCTGGTCCAGGACAAAGCCAGGAACCAGAAAGTTCATCTTGGTCTCCCACATAGATGACAGGAACCCAAGCACTTGGAACATTTTGTACTGCTATCCCAGGCACATTAGCAGGGAACTGGATCAGAAGTGGAAGCAATGGAAATCAAAACTGGCACTCCGATATGGGATGTTGCTGTTCCAGGTGGCTGCTTAACCCATTATGCCACAATGCCAGTCCCTAGATATTCTTATAGAAACAATATTCCACTTTCAGAGTTCACAGAAAGTTTCCTTGAGGCAGAGTATCCCCCTCTTCCTTTTAAAAAGAGATTGCAATCATGAATGCTTCACTTACTCGCTACCATTTTCAAATACAATTTGATTCACTTGTTTCACTGGTCATGCAGCATTGATATGGCTTCAATGTGAGACTGGCCAAGCCATCAGCACCTGGCCTTATACAATTGCATGAGCTTACCTTCAGCGTCCCCCCAGCCCTCTCAGTAGTGTAGGACCCTGCATGCCCTATGTGCCCTACTCCATCCAAGAGGTCAAGTGTCTCCCCTACAAGGTGTCTGTAATTAATGAAAAATGCCTGAGGTAGAGAACAGCACCCTCAGTGCAGACGGGGAGCACTGTTGTCATTCATTATCCCCATTTACTCACCTCCGAGTGGAAAGGTTCCTAAAGTTAAGTACAAGGAGGTAAGTGAGGCAATGTGTTTGTGTGTGTACATCTTTGTGTCCTCTGCTTTACCTCAGAGATCACAAACTAAATCATTCTTCTCACCTAGGAAAAATCAGTAATTTAATATCGACATCATCTGTACAGTGGTTGTCAGAAAAACGTGTATTTGCATGACAGACTTGCAAGTGTTATAGTTTACTACCCCTTTGCTCTTCCAAGGACTTGAGAATTATTTCACCTTAAAAGCCCCTTCCCCCCACCACCCCCTCCCTTGACTTGATTGTGAAATCAGCTAACCAAAAGAAAATTTTCTCAGTTTGCCACTTCTGCTTTTGAAGGCCATAAAACAGTGAGGGAGCAACTGGCAGATCACAGATCTCTTCGAGGCAAGAGGCACAACAGATCGCTTTGGGATTCTCTCCAGCCACTCTTCATTGTTCAAGTATGACTTGTTCTTCTTTACAACTAGTTCCTAAGGGGGTCTCTCTCTCTCTCTCTCTCTCTCTCTCTCCTTCCTCCCTCCCTCCCTCCCTCCCTTGTCCTCCTCCTCTTCATTCATCCCTCCCTCTCTGCCTGAGGGCTCAGCTTTTTGCAAAACTATTAAGTATACTATATTTTATGATTTATGAAATAGTCCAGGAATGAAGACTGCTACTCTAGCAGCTGACATCAGAAAGGTCAAGGTCAAAATCCTCTGCTCCAGGCCTCCTAACAATACATTCCTTGCTTGGGTTTGATTTAGCAATTGCCTCCCTCTAGACTCTAAGTGAATGCTCCCTCATGCATTCACTCATTTATTCAGAGATGGCTTCTTTGCATGCCTGCCATGTTCCAGATGTGGAGGGAAGCTCATATATGAAAATACCTTCGAGGAAACTGCACTGCAAGTGGTCACTCACTTTCTCCTCTTTACACAGATCTCTAGGACAGCCATGGCAACAGTACCTGAGCTCACCAGTGAGATGATGGCTTACCACAGGTAAGACTGAAGCCTCAAGTGTGAATAAGGCCTCTCTTTCAAGAACATAGTGCTAGGCCGGCGCCACGGCTCACTAGGCTAATCCTCCGCCTCGCGGCGCCGGCACACCGGGTTCTAGTCCCGGTCGGGGTGCTGGATTCTGTCCCGGTTGCCCCTCTTCCAGGCCAGATCTCTGCTGTGGCCAGGGAGTGCAGTGGAGGATGGCCCAGGTGCTTGGGCCCTGCACCCCATGGGAGACCAGGAAAAGCACCTGGCTCCTGGCTCCTGCCACCGGATCAGCGCGGTGCGCCGGCCGCAGCGCGGCGGCCATTGGAGGGTGAACCAACGGCAAAGGAAGACCTTTCTCTCTGTCTCTCTCTCTCACTGTCCACTCTGCCTGTCAAAAAAATAAAAATAAGAACATAGTGCTGTTTGTGCTTGGAGACTAGATGTGTTCCCCAACCTGCAAGAAGGGTTCCAAGTTAACCTGGTTTAAAGACTGATTTTTCACTAACAAGTCCAATATTGGGATCCAGAGGCCATCTAGATATTACTGGTGCAGGTGACAAATTGGAGGAGAAGATTCCAAGCTCACAGAGTTTGGCATGGATGAGAGAGAGCTCAGATTTCATCTGACTCAGCTGGGCTAGAATTTATAACTCAGGGTCCAGCTGGGATCTAGACTATTCCATGCATATCACCATAGAACTGGCCAGAAGCCTTCAGGCAGTTTCAAAGGAAATGTAGTTTGCAATTCAATTTACAGTGAAGACTTATATGCAGGGAAGGAAAGATAAATCTGTTTAGGAGACATAACTGAGCCATGTCTGTTTTTATTACAGTGGCAATGAAAATGACCTGTTCTTTGAGGCCGATGGTCCCAATTACATGAAGGTAAGATTGTGGGCTTAGCTCCCAATCTATGGGGTTCTAACTTGGGGAAAACTCAAAGAAATAGGTTCTGGACCACCTTGTTCCTGTGGCATTTAGTGATAGAATGACTTCCACTCTCCCAGCGAGACAGGTACAGGCTGCATTTCATGCTCAGCTGGCCACTATGCAATTCCCAGTCCACCACAGTTACTCATTAAGGCTTGGTTATGATGGCCATGCTGGGAGTGGGGGTAGTAGTGATCATGTTTGCTGATTCATGCTAGGAAGACAGTCAAGTCTCCAACACAAATTTGATTCTCCTTTTAGGAGATGGGTTCAGCTTATACTAATCACTTGGGTCAAAATCTGAAATTCCAGAGATGACCTTGAGAACTAACATATGTCTACCTGCTTTAGGTTAGAATAGTGTTTTGCTCACTGAGATAAAGTTTATGATAACAAGATATAGATGATGTAATAAAAAGAGGAACCAAGGATTGAGAGAAATTCTTTCACTTGCTACTTGACCTCCTTTGGACCTCATCTGAAAAATACAAGGCATGAACTAGATGGTCTCTAAGATCATCAATCTGCAGTTCTGAAATATTTTCAGTGGTAACTGGGTCTATGGGTGGCAAGTAGGCATTTTCAGACACTCATCCCTATACAGAGCCATGCTGACCTCCAGCTGTCCTTTCTTGTCTATGTGGTGCCTGATAACTTTCCTAAGTGGTACAGTCACCAGCCCAGCCAGGTCAGTTCTGCAGGCTAATTAACAGATAGCCACTTTTCTTTGACATTTTTTTAAGTTCACGATAGCCGCCTCTAGCCTCATAATCCAGTCCTCCTCAGTCTTGTTAAAAGCATATTTCTTTAAAAGTTTGAGGATTGCCTCACTGGTTGGCTCCACCCCTGGCCAGTGCCCCTCAGCTTCTCTGCCTGGCCCTCAGCCCCACTGTTCTGAGTGTGAACGTCTCTCATGCCCAGCTCTCCTTTTTGCTGTTAAAAAGCCCTCTTTAATTGTTTGGTGAGATTTTCAGCCATTATTGTACTTCAGCGGACTTCAGTTAATCCTTTTATGGAGTTCCTCTGGGTAACAGGAAAGTAGTAACTTATTTCACAAGTTGTAATTACTCTTACAGTGTTTACAGAATGCCTGTGGGGCAGCCTTCTGCAACAAGAAAGATCTGAGTAGAGTTAGTGAGAACATGTTGAGCGAGCATAGGTGAATAGAAAATGTTATGATCAGCATTGTCTTGGACAATTGAATGCATAGTGTTAGAGCATTAGTCACAGGAAAAGACAAAGTGTAAGAAGGTATAAGGTGTAGATGAGGCATGTATACAAAGTAGAAATGGGATTAATTCTAAAAGAATAATCTACGGGATGTCTAAAAACCTCCATTCTGGTTTTGGGTCTGCCTCTAACCTTACTGTGTGCTCTGCTGTAAGTAACTTAACCTCTCTGCGCATCAGAGAGACAGAGATTACTGTCAGAAACTCAGTTATCTCTGAGGTCCCTTCCACCTCTCTGCTGCTGCCTGACTACCTTCACGCACCCACTGACTGCCTCGTTTCTCCACAGAGCTGCTTCCAGGACCTGGACCTCTGCTGTCCAGACGAGGGCATCCAGCTGCGCATCTCCTGCCAACCCTACAACAAGAGCTTCCGGCAGGTCTTGTCAGTCGTTGTGGCTCTGGAGAAGCTGCGGCAGAAAGCAGTTCCCTGCCCACAGGCCTTCCAGGATGACGGCCTGAGAACTTTCTTTTCCTTAATCTTTGAAGAAGGTAATTAATGAGAGCTGAGAGCGGAAAGTGCAGCTTCACCCAGGGCCTTCTCAGAATCCATGGCTCAACAGTCACCTAAACACCCTCTCTCCCCTAATTTGAAACCCTGTAGAGATAGAAGGCTCCTCCCCCAACGAGAGCAAAATAAAAGACACCTAGAAACCAAATTATCATCTCTTTAGTTATGCTTCAAAGACCTTAGGTAACTACTGGCTTTCGCTTGCCTTACCACCTCTAAGTTCCGTAAGCTCCCTGTTGAGCTAGTGTTAGCAGCAGCAATCTTTCACATCAGCAGCTCCGTGACTAGTCCACTGTGCATGATCTTAGCACAGAAGCTAAGCACCTTAGGGTGCCAGAGCCAGTGTTCTTACTCACCCCACCCCCTACTTCCCCACAGCCAATGTTATGATGGAACTTTGACCACCCGTGCTTAGATGTCCCCCCAAGGAAGCAAACCCTGCTCCCCCACATCACGAGGTTTGCTCTTCCGATTTTCTTCCTAAATAACACCTGTGCTCTCTGTTTCAGAACCCGTCCTCTGCAACACCTGGGATGACTACAGTCTTGAGTGTGATGCAGTACGATCACTGCACTGCAGGCTCCAGGATGCACAACAGAAATCCCTGGTGTTGTCTGGCACGTATGAGCTGAAAGCTCTCCACCTCAATGCAGAGAATCTGAACCAACAAGGTAACTGGAGACATCCTGGTTTCCCTTCCTTGCCTCCTGGCAGCTTGCTGAGTCTTTATATTCTGAACAAAGTAGAATGCTAAGGCAAATTATCAACACAAGGGAAAAGAAACATATTTGTTTTAAAAAAAAAAAAAAAAAAGCAAGCTTGTAAACTTTTATCTGGGTCCTGGCAGTGACTTTAGTGTGATTGGTTCAGCATGTTCATTTGTTAGCAAAAGGTGTGACTGGGAGTCACACGTACTCCCAGGACCATTGTTCAGTAAGTCACGCGGGGACTGTGCATTGCCAAGGCTCTGTAGTGTGGGCTCCTTTGACAGACAAGCCCTAACTGCCTGTGGGTTCCTTTTTCCTCTGTTGAGGTTGAAACTAGAAGAATGGAGAGATAATGTGTGCTTCCCTATTCCCAACTCTGTCCCCTTGCCCCCAACATTCTTCCTGCCTATTACCACATGGTTCCTTATAGGGAAATTTTACTGACCAGCAGGAACTTTTATCTCTGTACTGTCACTGGCAAATGGTCCAAGCATGGTGAGGCCATAATCAACTGTGGGTAGCTACTTGGCATCGTGCCCCTGTGCCCTAGGCCTGTGTGCCAGATGTGAGCAAGGGGGCAGCTAGCAGCAGCGGCCTGGTCTCCTTAGGGGCAGGATCACTCAGAGGACAGCTTCCTGCTCTCACCAGGCCAGGATAATGCTGTTTCTGTAGGGCTGAGTAGTGAGAGTCATCCTGGCGCCTCCAACTGAGACTGCTGTGATGATTCGGGAAGATCAGCATGCATGTATGTCTCTTTTTGGAGCCACATTTCCAGCTAAGCCGCTCCTCTTCCAATTCTGCCCACTTGCCGCCCTAAGTTCCTGCAACAGCTTTGTTTCCTGATGCCTTTTGGGAGCCTGATGCTACCTCCACATTGATCAAATTGTTCTGCTCACATAGATGGGCACACTGCCTGCCAGTGACACCTGGGCATCCTCCCTTGCCCGGTCATTTTAAAATTAGTTTCCCTTTCATTACTACCATAAAGAGGCACGTTCATAAAGAAATCTTCAGCCTTTCTTCGGGGAAAAACTGAATCATCCGAGTGACCCTGCTATTGTCTGTGAGAAGCCCAGTGGTTCTGTCTGTTAGGCCAAAGGACACTCAATGTAGGTTCCCACAGAGGAGGTTCAGCTGCACGAGTCGTGAGTGTGGGGTCCAGCAGCCGGGACCACCCTTCACTGCTGCGCCCCTGAAGGCCTCTCTCCTTTCTTTAGTGGTGTTCTCCATGAGTTTTGTGCAAGGAGAAGAAAGTAACGACAAGATACCTGTGGCCTTGGGCCTCAGGGGGAAGAATCTGTACCTGTCCTGCGTGATGAAAGACGATAAACCTACCCTGCAGCTGGAGGTGAGTGGGTACCTGGACTGAAGCCCTCCCAGCCCCCTCTGGAACAGCCCAGCCATCACTCACTTCCCACACAGCCATCTGCTCTCCTGGCCCCTTTTTGCACCAAGATAAACACATCTGTTAATTCCAGTGTTCCAGGAACCCTTGGAAAAAACCCCGTACAGTGTTGAGATTGTTCTCATCTGATGGATGGCACATTGGAGCACTAACCAATTAAAGGGATATGTCACCAATCTCCACCTCACTTCCAAAACTGCCCCCCCTCCACCCCCATTCACCACTACCACCACCAGGTCTCCTAGCAAAAACTTCATTTCCAAACCGATATTATTCTACCCAAAGCCACGAGCGAAAATAGGGCAAAAGTACCTGGAAACTAGTAGAAGCTACTAAGTATGTCTAGAAACTTTGGCCTAATTTTCATCTTTTTCTTTTTAAATGTCTATTTATTATTTATTTTTTTCCTATATTTGAATAGCAGAGAGATTTTTCCATCTGCTGGTTCACTCCCCAATACTCACAACAACTGAGGCTGGGCCAGGCCAAAGCCAGGAACATCAAACTCAATCCAGGTCTCCCACAGGGGTGGCAGGGGCATAAGCTCCTGTCTCCCAGGATGCATAAGCAGGAACTAGACCAGAATCGAAGTAGCCAGGACTTGAACCAGGCACTCTCTTAGAAAATGCAGGTGTCCCAAGAAGTGCTTCAACCTGCTGAACCACAACACCCACTTCTAATCTTTTATTTTTAAGTTTCACCTACAAATGCTCCCCAGCATTTGGTCCTAAGATTTTGAAAAGACAAAATATTCTTTCAGGAATCTTTGAAGGGTCCCAAAGATAACTTGGGAGTCTGGCTCCTGGTCCAGCAGCTGGCCAATCCCTTTTCTCTCTAACCAACTAGGAGAATATCTCTACCACAGTGCCTTTGGCCCTAATCTCACCAAGCCTCATTTCTATTTTGTTGCAGAGTGTAGACCCCAACCGTTACCCAAAGAAGAAGATGGAAAAACGATTTGTCTTCAACAAGATAGAAATCAAGGACAAGCTGGAATTTGAGTCTGCCCAGTTCCCCAACTGGTACATCAGCACCTCTCAGACAGAGTACATGCCCGTCTTCCTGGGAAACAACAGTGGCGGCCAAGACCTAATTGACTTCAGCATGGAATTCGTGTCTTCCTAAAGCAAGCCTTACAAGGAGGGTCCGCGGTGCTGAATGTGTTCACCCCTGCGGCTGGCAGACGGGAAACAGATTGTGACACCCCACTGCCTTCCCTTGGGAAAATTAAGGAGAGCTCTTTCCCACCAGCTGGGAGCAGCAGCTCTCTCCTCCCAGGGCCACTCCTCCGACCCTTGCTGAGCCAGCCTCTCTTACCTCTGCCATTCAGGCAAGGCCAGCCTGACAGTTCAAAGAACCTTGGTACCCAGCTTCTATCAGCAACCACTAAATTATCTATTTATGTATTTATTGATAGGGTGGTCTATTTAATCCAAGGAGACCAGAGGCAGCAGCATCTTCAGTATTTATGGAATAAATTTAATCTGAACTTGTATGCTGTCTACATCAAGTCCTTTCACCAGGGCCAGAAGTATATAAGCTTGGGCTGAGTTATTTAAATAGGAATAATTATGGGTGAAGAAGTATGATCACACTGTTTCAATGGTTCTGAAATAAACTATACTGGAAAAAGTCTGTCCTGTTTATTGGTTTTTCTTGGATATGACATGGAAAGACAAAGATAAATGGGGAGGGAGTGCCAAAAACCCTACTTCTCCTTGCTGAGTGCTGCAAGTACCAGAAAACATCCCTGGTCACAAAGACAAGCCTCCCCCACTCACCGCCTCCATTTCTGTTTCTCAATAAAAGGATATTTGGTGCACAAGACTCATCTGAAAAAGCAAGATCAGCCGATGCTTATAGGGAGAAAGGGTTGTCAGTAACAACTGCCAGTGATGGCTCTATTTGCTTATTCAGCCAACATCTATTAGGCAAATGCAAAGGGCTGGGAATATAGAGATAAGAGAAGTAAAGAGTTCCTGGTTAGATGAGAAAGGCAGATATGTACAACGAATAAGGTGACTTGACAAGTAGAGGCAAGATAAAATATAAAAAGGGTATCCAAGAGGAAGTGACAGAATCTGCTGGGGAGGACAGAGGGTCATGAGTATGACAAATGAGTCAAGCATGAAGAGGTGAGCAAAAGTTCCCAAGGTAGCAAAGAAAGGGTACTCCATGTAGAGCAACCAGAATGAGCTAGCACATGGAGGCAGAAGAATTAATGATACAGGAGCCAGCATTGCAGTGCAACAGGTTAAGCAGCTACCTGCTACCTGTGATGCCAATTTGGGCCCTTGCTGGTCCACTTCTGACCAAGTTCCCTGCTAGTGTGCCCTGGAAAGCAGTGGATGATGGTCCAAGTACTTGGGTCTGTACTACCCATGTGGGAAACCCCGATGAATTCCAGGCTCCTAACCTTGGCGTGGTTCAGCCCTGACCATTGCAGCCATTTGGTGAGTGAACCAGAAGATGGAAGAGCTCACTCTCCTCTCTTCCCTCCCTCCCTGTGTTGTGTGTGTATGTACGCTTGTCTCTCTCTCATTCACTTTGCCTTTCAAATATATAAAGTTTAAAAAATGAATTATACAGAAAGTAAACTTTTAGGACTGCAGAAGTCACCAAAATCAAAGTCAAAACACAAAACAAGTTTGGAAAAAAATGTTGTAACATATCCCAAATAATGGGATAATTTGCTTACTATATAAATAACTCACTGAAAACATTAGGAAAAAATCTAACAACATAATAGACAAGGGGTATTTATAGGCTGTTCACAGAATAAAAATTCGATTAGTGTTTGAAAAGAGTAAAAGATGTTCAACATTACTCGTGATAAGAAAGTCAAACTAAAAGCACCATGAGGGGTGAATATTTGGCCCACCAGTTAAGATGCCCATGTCCCACACTGGAGTATCTGGGTTCAATACTCAACTCCGGCTCCAAATTCCAGTTTGTGATCAATGCACATCCTGGGAAGCAGCAGGTGATGGCTCTGCCACCCACATAGGAAACACGGATTGTATTCCCAGCTCCTGGCTCCAGCCTCGGCCCAGCCCCAGCTGGTGCAGGTATGTGGGGAGTAAACCAATGAATGGGAGCAGCCTGTGTCTCTCAAATAAATATTTTTTTATAAGATTTTATTTATTTAATTGAAAGGCAGAGTTACAGGCTGGGGAGGAAGGGGGAGAATCTTCCTTCTGCTGGTTCACTCCTCAAATGGCCTCAACAGCCAGAGCTGAGCCAAGCTAAAGCCAGAAGCCAGGAGCTTCATCCAGGTCTCCCACATGGGTGGCAGAGGCCCAGGCACTTAGGCCATCTTCTGCTGCTTTCCAGGTGTATTAACATGGAGCTGGATGGCAAGTGGAGCAGACAGGACATGAACCAGCACCCACATGGGATGCTGGAGACACAGGGAGTAGCTTAATGTGCTACACCACAATGCTGGACCCTCAAATAAATAATTTTTAAATTAAAAAAATAAATTCTAAAAGCACCTTGATATACCAACATTCTCTACCAGGCTGACAAAAATCAAGTTTAAACATTTACCCTATTGGCAAAACTGTGGGGAAATCTCCACTATTTATTTAGTATTCTACATGGAAGTATAAACTGGTATTAATTCCTATAAAAGAAAATGTGAGGGGTTGGTGCTGTGGCATAGCGGGTAAAGCTGCCACCTGCAGTGCCAGCATCCCATATGGGTGCCGGTTCATGTCCCAGCTGCTCCACTTCCAATCCAGCTCTGTGCTATGGCCTGAGAAAGTAGTAGAAGATGGCCCAAGTCCTTGGGTCCCTGAACCCATGTGGGAGAAAAGAAGAAACTCCTGGCTCCTGGCTTCAGATCGGTGCAGCTCTGGCCATTGCAGCCAACTGGGGAGTAAACCAGCAGGTGGAAGACACCCCCCCCATCCATCTATCTCTCTGCCTCTTCTTCTCTCTGTGTGTAACACTGACTTCAAATAAATAAATAAATCTTTTAAAAAAAGAAAATTGATAACAGCTATAAAAATCACAAATGCACTTCCTCTCTGGCCCAGAAATTTCACCTCTGGGGATTTATCCTGCAGATGGACATAACTCATGTGAAACAACATGAGATCAAAATCATCCACTGCATATCATTTGTATACTAAAATTGGAAATAACCCAAGTATCTATCCACAGGAGGTTGGCTAAGTAAATTATGGGACAGGGAATACTATGCAGCTATACAAAAGAGTGATAAAGCACTCTGCACCAAGATATGCTGACACCTGAAAACTAGCAACATGCAGACAGTGTTGATGGTGTGCTGACATTTGGATAACAAAAGGCAGGGGGAAAGGAAACAAATCCCGATGTGCTTGTATTTTATCTGAAAACTTCTGGCAGATATCAGAAATAATTAAAGTCATTGCAGGGGAGAGAGGAATAAGATATATGGAGACAGACTGGCAGTAAGACATTTCTCCATACCCTTTTTATATAGTTTGCTTTCCGAAGCATATGAATATTATCATCTATTCGGAAATAAAATAACAATGATTTTAAAGTGTTTACCAAAAAAAGGTGAGGGTTGGCACTTGGCATAGTGGTTGAGACACCACTTGGGACACCAATATCTATGTCAGAGTGTCTGGGTTCAAGTCCAGATTCCAGTTTCATGCTAATGCGTGCCCTGAGAGGCAGCAGGTGACAGCTCAAATGGTTGGGTTCCTGCCACCCATGTGGGAAATCTGGATTGAGTCCCTAGCTCTTGGTTTCAGCCTGGCCTAGCCCTAGCCATTGTAGGCTTTTAGGGAGTAAACCAGCAGATGAGAGATCTCCGTCTCTAGCTCTCTCTCTCCCTCTCAAATGAATCAAAAAAATAATTTTAAGTACATGACTTATTTCAGAAAAACAACTGTTGAAATATACCACTACACAGCAGCTCATTCCCAAACCCTCCTTTCCTCCTTCTTTACAACTCCTCAAGCCAGGGAGAGGATGGCAGAGCCCTCTCTCCCAGCTACACCTGCTTTATAACGTCAGTACCAAGGGCAGATGGCTGCTAGGAGCAGGCATCAAAGTGGCACGCAGTTGCAATATGGACCAGAGCTCATATGGCATGAAACCAGAAATGGCGCCGTGAGCCCCAGCTGGGACACAGCCCCTCTTCCCTGTCCGGATGATGCAATTCCACCTGACCTCCTCTCAGGGCCAAAAAAGAGACCAGGCCAAGAAGAATGACAAACTGTGAAAGCACCTCGCCTGGTGAGGAGGTCAGATTCCAAATCATCTACGTGTAAGCAAATTGGTACAGCCACTTTGCAGGGGGAAAAAAAATGGAAATGTCTAATTTTGTTTTAAAAAGAATGTTCTATGATTCAGTAATTCCACTATTTGGTGTCTTCCCTAAAGGACTTAAGTTTCAAGGATGTTTACTGATTTATAAATATTTAGCAGAATCAACTGAACACAACCTAAAATTACATTGGTAGGCAAAAGGTCGAATAAACCATGGTAAAATTAAAAAAGAAAGATGATGGTACTGATAGGGAAAGAATTCCAGGCAAAACACTGAGAGAAAAGGGGCATTTACGTAAAAGAAAAGGCAGTGCACGTCCGCAGTGGATAACCACACGCTTCTAAGGATGTGCGGCAGCACAGAGTTCTGGGAGATTACTGACCAGACTGGAAGCAGTGGTTATTTGGGGTAGACTAGGACAGGAAGGGGTGTCATCAAGAGCAATGTTAACTGTATTTGCAATGTTTGAATTTTTCACAAGAAGAATATATTTATGAATTATTTATGTAATCTTTTTAATCCTTTGCATCACAAAGTTCAAAAAGCTTAGGCTTCAGTTTCTAGATCTGAACCAAAGACTGACACTGACTCTGTAAGGGGCTTTTCTGTTCCTGAATTGTAGCCTACTTCTCTCCTTGATAACAATTCTGTTTTGTTGTTCCTCATGTTCTTAGCCTGAAACAGAGAAACGGTCTGCTTCTGGGTAGAAAGGATCAGATGGGGAAGCCAGATTCTTCTCTGAACTTGACCAACTGCCCAAAAAAACAACAGAGAAAGGGCATACTTTTTGGATGGTCTGCACCTGCAGCAGTCCCACACCAACACAGCTCCTGCCAGCTTTCAAGTAGAAAGCTTGCCTCCTACAAAGTAGGAGGCAAGTACCTGTGAACCCGACCTGATGTCTGATTCTGTGACAGCAGTCCACAGCAGCAGGCTGTGGTTTGTCCTCAGACTGGGGTTGGAGGCAGCCAGGGTGTGGCTGGGGAGGATAAAGGTTGCAATGGTGTGTGGGAGCACATCTGGCCTGAAAGACAGATTGAGGGCTGAGTAGGTGCTGTAACACCATAAAGTCAGGGTGCCTTCTGCACAGACCCCTGGGCTCATCTCCCAGCCCTTAGAGACAGAAGAGGTATGAATGCCCTCATCTACCTCCTGACTGGGACCCAAGGACCAGGAAGTATGGGCCAAAGAGAGTCCCTGCCACCCCTTAAGCATCTTGGTGCTGCGAATCCCCTGCAGAAACAACTGGCCAGAATGGGGCCATGTAGTTAACCTGTGAATGTTGGATTTTGAAGAGATTTTGGAGCAGATGGCTATCCAGATACAAATAGGAGCTTCTACACACACTATGGGCTTGGAA